AGAACTCATTTTAAGTTATTAATGCATAGCAACATTGAGGACTTCTTCCCAAATTTTGTATTAAGCTCATTTTTATGGCATCACTTAATGCCGTTGAGTCCACACTCAAACTGAAGCTGGAATATAACTTCTTCAGTATCCATTCCAAAGACTCAGTGATAGTTGTATGCAATCTACAAAAAATTCTGTGGCAAAAGGTTGTTAAGGCCAAAAATAACTTTCTTACTAACTTCTCCATTTATTTTGCGGTTGTATCTAACACATTTCTATTTTGCTCTTCATATTTGTAATGTATCTGTTTGTCTATAATGAGACCATATAAACACCTGTTTTATTATTAGAAATATGATTCGAATTCCATAAAACTACGGAAATGAGTAAGGCCTGCTAGAATTATAACTGAGATGACTAATGTATCAAATATTGTACGATGGTGCATATCTATTTGTAATTTGTAAATATATAATACCACAAAAATAATATAACGCTTCGATTTGCGATATTAAGACAATAGGGCGAAAATTTAGTAAGCACATTTTTAACAAGGTGCGGTTCTATGATTCTTAGCAAATGTAGAGAGTGAAACATATATTTAAACAAGCTTCAAAAAATAACTTAATGAAATTATATCTTTGAATATTTAAAGTATAAATACAATTTTAGTAACTTATAGAGTAGTTTACTATTAAAATTATTGTAACTTGTTTTAGGGATAATCTTAAAAATAAAACTAATTATTTTTTTTTTTTAAGTCTTATCCTTTAATCGCTTAAACTATACGATTCTATATAAATTTAAGGCAAGATTTTAAAGGTTTAGGGTGTGCCTTTTAGCAGACGAAGCGCGGATTTTTCCATGAAGACATACGTTCTTTTTTTCTATTTCTATTTTCAGTTAAATAAAAAAAAATAGGAGTCTACATAATGTTGAGTGGGAATAAAGTGAAAAAAGTTATCACAATTTAAATAGTTTTAAACTGAATTCCTGTTTAATACATTTTAAATAGTTTCTATTAGAATTCAAATATCAGTCGGATAAATTAAACTCTTGCAGTAACAATCGATTTGAAATTTATTCTTTTTTACGTCCACCCTAATATTTAACACATAAAAGTAATTATAAACACATACATACATACATATATAAAATTCAAGTAATATATTTCATACAATATAGGGCTCTGCCGCACTATATTTATAACTTCTCCACACTTCTATAATTGTCGGCTGTAAAAGTTCAATACTCTTCTAAGCTTGCTCCATAGATTATACCTTATTTTTTCCAATAAAAAATTATATTATTTACACACTTAAGTAAACAAATAAAACTGCCTAGAATTCTGAAACACATGTATGTATATGTGTCGGTCAGGCAAGTACCGTTAGTAATAATCATAGGTGAGTAAATAACTAGCAACACCATAACTACAACAATAAAAATTTTCTTTAGGGAACTGTGGTTTCGTAAGAAATATTATTTTACTCAAGCAATACCTTTGCGCCACACACCTTTTTATGAAAATATTTAAGTATATGTATTGATGCATATTTGTATATATATATATGTATATTCATACGTGTGTTTGTGTGCGAACTATGCTTATCTTCCAATTGATTTCCTTGATAAAAGCCGTTGAAAAATGAGCACAGTGTTGATAAGATAGTACATTTCTATTTCAGTATACTCACACACATGCTACACATTCATTCATACACACAACAAGCGACCGCACAATCGAATGCATTGAGCAACACTTTGGCTTTTGTTAATACCCAACATTAATGTTTGTTTACAATTAATTTTTTTCTCTCTTCGTTGTTGTGTTTTGTGCTTTATTTAGAACTATGCGCACTTAATTGCGTTTGTGAGGTGAAATGAGTTCATAAATGCAGCTGACTATTAGCTAAAGATGGGATTTATTACGTTTGTTGAAGCGGTTATTTTCAAACTGCAAAGCCAAGTCAATATTTGTGCAAGAAATAAAGAAAAATAAAGAAATTCACTCAAAGTCAACAATTTGTGGGTAATGAGTGTACCACAATGGGTTTTACGGTGTGCTGGAGTGCTGATTTTGCAATTTTATGGCCATATTTGGTTTTACTTGGAGTTTCTGTTTATGTATGTATGCCATATGCAAGCTTTATATCTGTAGAAATTGTTAAGTCAACGTTCTTCTAAACTTAGCGCACTTTTATATTTAATTTTTTTTTATTTATAACTAGATATCGAACTTTTTTGTAACAAGAAACTGAGACTGTGTGTCGTATGTAATCGTACTTCTAACAACTACTGAAAGGTATTATTCAATTCTCTGAACTATACTCGTAATAACTAGAATAAAAGCGGCTTATTTCTCCAACTAATCACTGGTATTGCATAAAGTGGCAAACGGAAAGGTAGATAACTTAGTTTGTTGCTCTCACTATAACGAGCAAAGAAGTGGCGAATATACATAATACAATCGCAGTTATATGCTCTTCAATTTTTAACAAAACTTTAAATTCAAATGTGAAATTCTGTGACCTTTGAAAGTTTAAATGAACATGAAATAGAGTTTGCTTGAATGTAATACTGTTTTAGCTCAGTGAGTAATGCCCTATATTTTCATTTTAATCTAAGTAATAGTCTCGGATATACAGCCTTTAGATCTTGTGGACTTGAGGCTAGCTATGCTAAGTGCGCCGTCTTTAAACGCGTTTTTCTCGAAACTGTAGACAGATTTAGTTCGAAATGTGTACACATTTTTAAAATAACATTCTCTAGTTATTGAACGGAGGGTTTTCTTTTTATTCCAATTTTTTTTTTTAACCAATAAATGGCGGTAATTTGACCAAAAAATGAAATTTTTTGTTCAAAGTCTGAGAAAAGATGGAAAATTTTAATATTTTTTTATTTCCTTTGTTCAAAAACGATATTTATATATGTATTAATGGAGTATGTTTAGTTTCTTAATTTTAGATCAACCAATAAGTTATGCTGTCCACGGCGAGAGCACTGTTTTTGTGAGACACCCAGGGAGATGAGTTCTGAGATGATTGATTTTTCAACATTTTTATATTTAAATTTCAGGAGACATTGTTCAATCAATTCCTATAGCATATATCCGAAATGGTGGATCCAAAAGGTGACCTGAAGAAGCATGGTTATATATTTTTAAAAAACTTTCTTACTGCAGAATAGTTGATATTCTATATTCTAATCCTTTGCTGCATCGAGATTTTTTAAGAGCTCGTAAACAATCTGCTAAGGTTCTCACTTTTGTCTATGGTTCTGTCGTATGGCACCGTTTGCGCTATCTGGATAAGATTTAAATCTTAAGGAGCTCATCGAGTTGCCGGTTTAGGTTAATAAATTAGTTAAGATCTCTTTTTCACTTTATAAGTATACTAGTATTTATACAATATCTAAAAGAAAATTAAATTATCACTCAGGCATTTTTGTGGAGGTAGATCTATGTATTGTCGTTTACTTTCTTTAAGAAGAGTAAATGTAACAATTAGAGATTCTTACTAAAAACCTTCTTGATCTTTTAGTGCTTGGTAGTGTGAGGAAATTTTGGTAATTAGTAATATGTAGCAAGTTTTAGCTTTAAACGAACTGCTATAGTTTTGGAGGAGATGAACTAAGGTGCGAGCACCAAAACTTAATATAACAGGTGAATCACTTTCAAAAGAGTCGAAACTATTTTACCGAAATGGGTCCAGACTTATTCATAGGTATAATTCTATGCATATGTTTTTACCATAAACAGTGTACATGTATTAAGTTTGCTACAAAGTTAAGGTTGAATTATAAGTGTCATAACCATAACTGTTTAAAACAGCTGATCGAACCAACTTTACGGGCAACACGGTTTTCAATTAGCGAAGCCCTACTATAACGGCACAACCAAACATATTAAATGAATTTTGTTACGGGTATGGCGTTATTGTATGGCGCCCATCGTTGAACCTTTAGCCAGTCTCTATATACGAAAAGTAGTCGCTCAGTTGTTGAGATAACGTTCTGAAAATTTGTATACGTTCTTTTCTTCAGTGAGGATCTTTATTTGTCGGAACCACTATAGAATATGGCTGTCATTGAAATTCATCGATCAAAATCAAGTCCCGGTATGAGTTTTTCTATTTCACAGGATACCTTCACGAAATTCGGTATAGAATTGCTAAAATCTCCAATCGATTAGTTTAGAGCTTACCAATTAGAACAACGAGGCTAGAAAGTATTAGCAAAACTTTTTCTATAGACACCTGCATTGCCGGAACTAGTTATAGCTTCTGTGTATCCGAAATTAATTTTGTTTCATTTTTTTTCATTTCGCATTAACAAAAACAATAATAAAGAGCAAAAGTTCATCACCTTTGCACGCCAAAAATACTTTTCATTGCAATCTTCTATTGCTTTTTATATCTTTTATTGTTGTTGCTGCTATTATTATTATTGCTGTTGTATTTGCCAGACAGCAGGCAAAGAGCGCTCGCCAACCTTGAGCTACTCGCACGCTCCACGCTCGAAAATAACAAAAGTAAACAGCGCAAAATAGAAAAATACAAACTAATAGAATAGGCAGACGAATGACTGCAGAAAGTGGAAAATGAGAAACAAAAATTTAAATGAAAGCAAGAAGAACATTTAACTGCAAATCTCGAAACTTTGCTAATTAAAAATACAAAATTATTTTCGACGCAGTGCAATGATGCGAATGCAAACTTGCAAATATGTTTACGTTCGCTTGTGTGAGTGTGTGTATGTTTGGGCGGTGGTGGGACTGTGTGCGTGCAAAGTAAAAGTGTAGCGACGTTGATAATAAATAAACGTCAGCAGTCAGGAGATAACTAGCAAAACAGTGCTAAATTCACGTTGTTGCCTCGTAAAAATTCATGATATCACATCAGCAGGTTGTTGTTGACTTTTACGTTGTGGACGGGGTCATGCGATAAGCGAAATGATACACTTGCTGGAAATACGGGTAAATGTATGGAAAAAAGCTCATTAAAACTTACACTAATTATCCACAAAATGCAGCAGGACAGCGCTGGTCGGATAACAGCACGTACAAAAACACAACACCCCAACAGCTGATGTTGCGTAGATGGAGTTGCAGTACGCCTGTCGGTAGCAGCTTGTCGTTGATTTCGCACGAGTGGGTGCGGACGCGCCAAATGAATATACAATGCAGCAGAGTTGGTCAGGTTTTTGCAACCCTAAGTAAGATAGATATATCACCTTCTATACATATGTATGTACGCGTATGTTCATACACTTTTTTTTAGCGGCTGGCTATGCCGCAATGCCCGAAGTTGCGCGCGTGTTGTTTGATGCCTATTGAAGGGTGCTTGTTCTTTTTGTTGTAATGTTTTGCTGTTGTTTTCTTTTGAATGGCAAACTTTTTAATGATGTTGCTGCAGCGCGCTTTGAGTTGTTGAGAAGAAAACGCACACACCGAAGAGAAAATTTTAAAACAAATAGCTGACTCGTATAACGGGCACAGCTAAGAAACTTCACAATTTTTTTGTTCTCATTTATTTCGTCTATTTCTTGCGCGTAAGTTAGTTTGCATGCAAGTTGTTTTCGTTGGGATTTTTTTCTGTGCTGTTTTTATTTATTTGTTTTGCAATTTGATTTCTTGCCGCCTTGCCACGTGCAACAGACGCGGTTGGCATAAAACTGTTAACAAATTTGTCGATTTTTGTTGCAATTTGTTTGCCACGAAGGCTTTTACTACTGAAATTAAAGAAAATTCTGTGAATGAAAGGCGAAAACTTTTTTTCATTAATTGCGCGTTTGTTAAGGCATATGCGAGCTAACACGCGTCATTGCTTGACGTGTGTGCTTGTTTGGAAATGTGAACCGGTATGCTAGCTTTGCTAATTGACTGAGCTGGTGCGCTAATTAAGTTATTTAGATTTATATAAGATTATATAGATTTATATAAAATATTACTTGACTGATCGCTTGAATTAATTTCTTATATCCAATATTTTTTTGCATTAATTTATTATAATAATTTTTTCTCAAAAAACTATTAAAATTATTATAAACAAATTTCAATTAGTTGTATTTACTTTCTCAAATATTTTATTTACAATTTGTTCTTTATGTTTTAATTTCCTGGATAAAATTTCCGATGAAATAATGAAAGTCTTCTAAAGCAATCAATCATTTATTTACATACATATATAATTTTTGTATTCTCTTGAGCACGACTTCTGTCGTTTTAGATAATTTTCTATTTAAAAATTATAATTACTTTGCTTGGCAAATTTATTATTTTTAAAAGTTTTGTTCAAGAAACAAATTACGAACCTTTCTTTTCAACAATTTTGCCTGAAGAAGTTTATTTTTCACTCTTCAACTTTTATATTGACAAAAATTAAATTATTCTGAACTTTTTCCAAAATAATTTTTCTTTAACTATTTTTAGTCTACATCTGAGCAAACAATTAATTTTTTCAGCTTAGATTGTCAAATTTTTTAAATAAATATTTTTTCTTGCCATAAATTAATTTTTTCCTTTTGCTTCTAAATTTTGTTAATGTTGTCTTTGAATGATTGAAATAAGTTTTCCTCCCCAAATTAAAAAAAAAAAATAAAAATAAAACTTAATTTATTTTTATTGAACATTAAATTTCATAATGTGGGCTTTTTAGAATTTTTGATTTATATACATACAGCATCTTTATAATTTTTTTTATTTCTGGCTTACGCGATTCCGAGAGAGAATAGTTTCTTATTATTGTTTTAAATAGTATTTTTCCAAAGATACTGTAATAATTTTTTATTAATTCCATTTATGTAAAATAATATATAATATGTATTTACATAAAATAAAATCGTGATTTATTTTGACATTTTAATAAAATTTTTATTTAATTCGAAACTAAATATGAAAGTATCTTTGCAAAATTTCAAACTGCAAGTAAATGTCTTTACATTGAATAAATTTTTTTATATATTTTTAATATTTATTTAAATATATTTGTTATATTTTTCACATTTATGTTTTAAAGTGTTTTTCTGCAAATCTAGGTTTATGTTTGTTTTTTGAAAATTTTGATAAACACTGGGGCAATGAATAAAACAACAAATATTTGTAATCTGCATACATATTTTTAACATAAAAAAAATTATTTTTCGAAATATTTCTAAAAATATAGTATTTTGAAAGAAACGTTTTATTTTTATTGCATACTTTTTTTAAACTCGTTTTTTCAGTTTTGATATAGAAAATTTTCATGAAAACGCAGTTCTGAAATTTTTGCAAACAATAAAAATTTGAAATGGCATGCATCTCCTACCATAGTTATGCAAAATATTTTGCTATTGCCGGTCTACACCCCGAAAGGAGTGATCAACAAACACACAAATAAACAACACGCTCCAGCAGCAACGGCTGCACAGCTGTGAAGTGGCTACGAGGCGTCAGCTGAAAGAGGCAGCGAATGGCGAGCGGCGCTACTGCAAAACAGAATAAAAACGTGCGTTCAGAGGAACCGGCCCGGCATAGAAAAATAGAAGAGCAAAAACAAAAAAAGAAACACACACAAGTAATGTTACGTATAGCTGATGGCTTGCCTGTTGTTGTTGTTTTATATAATTTTTATAATAACACATGCGTTTTTTTCATGTTGTAATTATGTTTGCGTTCGTATGTATGAATGTGTGTGCGTGTAGCAGCGTTCTTACTACCTCTTCCGTTTGTCCGCAATTATATTTCAAACAAGTTTTTCGCTTTTCACCCTCGAATTATGAGATCGAAAACGACCAATTTACACACACTCACTCACAAATTCACTTCGCTGTACGTATGTATGTTTGTATTCACCATACACTTCATATACACGTTACGACGGCCGTTTAATGCCTACTCGTCGCTGGCGTCGTCACACGCACGAGAAACTAAACACGGTCGCCGATACGTTTTGTATCTGCACGAATGCACGAATAGACGATTACAATTCGGCGTAGCAATAACGTCCACTCACGTTCACGTACACCGCTCAACTGCCAGCGTCAGCGCTGCCAATGCGTGTCTGTCCGTCCGCGGCTATGGCATGGCATACTTGTCGCTATCGGTGCAAATTGCGGAGAATCATCGTTGCGGCAGCACCAGTGACAGCAGCACAATCGTGAGATGATAACAAGAGCACGAGCAACGGCGGCAGTCAACAGTCAAAGCTAAATTTTCACGAGCGTAAATGTTTCCAGCGAGACTTTGCCAATTGGCGGCTCGTACATACTCGTGTATATGTGTGTGTGACAAGAGGAGCTGTTGCGCCACGAAATGCAGTTTCTCAGCGGGAGCTGAACTTGGCAAAGAGAGACAACTCACACGGGAGCGCACATCAGAGAGCGAGAAAAGTTCTATCTCATCTGCGAGAAGTGAAAACTTGGCGCACTTCGGGAGCATGTGAGTGTCTGCTGCGGCGCTTTGGTGTGAAACTTCGCTAAATAGTGGGTTGCTAATGTGCTCTCTGAGCGATGCAACTAACTGTTTTAGGCTTATCGGGTCGCATGTTTGTGTGTAAGCGTTGGCTGCAATTCCATTGATAAAGAATGCATTGCGAATTGACTGGGCGGCGAATGCTATTAACAAGCGGTTACCAATGCTTGAGGTGATTTAAGTGCTTAACGATTAAGATAGGTTATGTTAATTAAAGCTGTTGGTATTGGACGTTTTTTTACCAATGTCACGGTGAAATAGATTTTGCTGTACATACATTCAGTTTTTTATTCGAAGTATCACTGCAGAATGATCTGATTAGACATCAGTCTTAAGATAATATTCCGGAACAAATATGTAAAAAACATAAGCGATAATCTTAAAAAACTTTAATATGTTTAGAGTTCGTTTTGGTCATACTGTAGTTTGGGTTTGAAACACATGAATAATAGAAATAGAAGAGAGGTGAAGGTTTTTGAAAATAATATGTTGCCAAGTAAAAATTCTGCTCCCAATATAACATTGTCTTAAAAATTAACTCATACAGTTTATATTTCAATACATATTTTTAATATCGGTTTTAAAATAGACATTTTGCACAATTTATCTATAACTACGCTTAAATATTTATTTAACATTTGTAAAAGAATCTGGTCTCGATTTTATTTCAGACAATTTTTTTATAACTCATGGTGTGTTCAATGGAGAAAGTATTTTTGTTCCAGAAACTTGAAAGAGAGAGATTTGTTCAGGTGATAATATTGGCCAAAAATTTAATTCAACCACAACCTTAATGAAACGTGACGCGGAGTTGTTCCCTTATGTTTCATTGATTTTATGGAATAAATTCGCTTTGTTGTAGCGGTATAGATCGTTTATTAATAGTTTAGATGAATATGCAAAGTTGATACATAGATCAGACAGCAATGAAAAAGAAGTTATCGATAGCATAGTGCAGCGTATTTCCATTAATTACGAATATGGGAATTACTGAGGCTCGATTTTCTGTTCTGGAGACGTTTCACCTTCATCGAAAAATTTTGACGATTTACTCGTGCTTTCGCATTTACATTTTATATTTATCAAAATTATCATATATCAAATATTGCTCTTCAGCTTAAAAAAATTCAGATAATTTTAAGGATCTATAGTTGATATCTACATGTATTTTCTTTAAATTGTTAAACTTATTGTTACAAAAACTATATGTTGCACTTATTTTCGATATGTTCGCTAAATTCTTAGTAATTTTACAATTCTCATTATATTATTTATCATCAGTATTTTTTAAAACTTGTGAAAGTTATCCATAGACTTTTGTAGTTCTGAAATTACTCTTCTTTGTCCGTGTACAAATTGTCTCCTATCAGAGGATTTCTCAAATCTCAAATTGGTATTCAAAAAACAAAAAAAAAAAATAAAAATAAAAATAAAATCATTTGATTTCTAAGTTTCGATAAGTAAAAAAATTATAGCTTTCTGTTGCGAGTAGTTTTACATATAAAAAAATTAGTTAAAGGCATATCATTAGTTTAAAATTTTCACAACTTTCGTGAATGAACGCACACTATCACTCATATTTTTAAAATAGTTCCAGAATTCGTGTTTAATAACGTAAAGCAAACTTGGTTCAAACAACATTTATCGTACTTAATTCTGTAGTGAAACAACATCGGAAGCGTTGATTCTCAATTTAAATTATCAGAATTCTAAGTTTTTGTAGAACTTAGAAGTTAGTATCTTATAGGCTGATGTTTGTATTAATTTATCCAAATAGCTAAAAAAATATATTGGGTTCTTAAATTAAAAAAAACCTTCAATTGCTTAATTACTCGAGTGCATGTGAAATAATTTGGCTCACGCACAGTTCACTTGCTTTCCTTTGGATTTCTTTATATTTTGCCAGTATTTCTCTCCCAAACAGAACTCTAAACAACTTCTACTTTGCTATTTTTCCTCCTGCTCACCAATGCGCTCGCTTTTCACGCCCATTTCACGAATCCCACAATTTCTGCTCCTGTTAAACTCACATTCGCGCAACTTTACCGTCTTGCTTGCATTTCCCGTTACATGCTCTCTGGACTTGCACAGCTTTTCCGTTAGATGTCGCTTGTGCTAGAAAAATAGTCAGTCGGTTGAAAACATGAGAGTGTGTGTGGCATATTTTTGTTTACAAACACTGTGTGTGCGCTCTCAAACAATTTTGTTAAATTGCTGATGGAACTTGCTGGCTGCCCTTCACCCACTGCTGCGGACAGCTGCAGCTTTGGATTGTCACTCATTCGCCACTGTTGGATGAGCTGGGTTGCCAGTGTGCTGCTGCATGGTGTTTATAATAGTTGTGTTGTTGTTTCAATATTTATAGCGCAGTAGTCACTCAAAAGGCAGCACAAGCCCTCTACCTACCATAAGCAGTCAGCTGATTGTCACCAGGTTCCCACAACTGCATATACATACATACAAACATACATATTTACTTCGCCTCTGAGGTCCTCATTGTCGGCTTTACTTTGCTGCTTTGAATTTTACTTACGGTAGCCGCTACATACTACATTTTCGTTTTGTTTTCGTGATTCTCTAAGCGTTTTTCATATTTCTCCGCATGTTTTCCCTTTCAATTCACATTCGCTTTTGACGTCTCTCTTTGCTCGTTGAACGTTGATTTTCGCGTGTAATTGCCTGCGCATAATTCCGAATGCAATGCGGCACTTTATGGAAAACACGTCACTCATACAAGTATATGTATGTACTTATGTAGATATATACAAGACGCTGCTTGCATGCAAAAGTATATTTCCACTTGCATTGCATTCATTTCATATTTTTTATTCTATCCCCTCATTACTTTCTATGATTTCTTTTTGTCAACATATGCGTGATTCCATGTTCCCTTCATTGCTTTACAATTTCCCCATTAATAGTTCCTCTAGCGCTGGTAGCAGCCGCACACTTTCATCCCCAATTTTTCCACTAGAATAGTTCGAAATGTTTAGCTACACTTTGGCAGTGAGGTATTTTAGTGACATACAAAATTATTTGGACGGAAATATACTATATGTAATTATATTATTTGGAAGAAAACTAAAGGTATTGCTTGGTTCACCAGAAACCATTTCAAGCCGAAACAGCAGAGTACCGACTGCTACTGATCTCTCAGTGTAACAATAGTCTCAATTTCGCAGTGTAATAACAATGTGCTATTTGACATCGTTCCTAGATCCTCAAGCTCTAACATGGACCTTGAAACTACTTTGAAATATATTTCAGCCCGAAGTTCTATTTTTAAGAAATTCTGCGTTTACTAAACAGTCAACGTCAAAGATGTATTCAATTAGGTAACGATCATGATAAACGCAGGTGCAAAACATTTTGCAAAGTCATTTAACCTGAATATTACGATTAGTAATTTTAAGGTGCATCTTCTCCTTGTAAACGTACATAATCCTTCATCAAATTTCCAAGCGTCTTTTCCGATTAAACAATTATTAATTAATTTGTAGACAATATTGTCCTTATTCTTTTGATTAAACAATTCTGGAAAATTTTGTACAATAAACTTAGGCTAGCTTTGGATTTCTAAGCAATGGATTTTGTCTGCAAGATCCTGAGCTGAGTAATTTTTTTCCTTTTTTGTTGTGAGAAGCTTAAGCTTCGTTCTCTTACCGTGTGTAGCTCAACTGCACTGTTGCCCATACCTATGACATTTTAGATCAAGCCCGAATTCATGTCATATGTACATGTTCATCGGTACACTTTTGTCCCACCTATTTATTATCGCTTGATAATCTTTCGAAAATATTCCCTCATAAAGCGCCCATTAGGCATGAATTAAGTCATAATTGTATGAGCAGAATGATGATGAAATGCCGAAAATGTGTTTTTCTTGTTTTCACGCTGCAGGCAACACACATAGTACAAATACAAGTATACGGACCATCATACCATATATGTACAGATGTATAACTTTTAAATACAAACGCCTCGCGCCTCTCGTCCTCGTGCTTAGTCCAATTAATGTCTGTTTGTGAGCGCGTGTGTCTTCAATGCATCTTCCGAGTTAAACTTGTAGCTTTGTTGTTGCATCTGTCAAATTATAATGTTTCCATGCTTCTGTAGAATATTTTGATTGCACTCATTTATGTTCGTGTTACTAGAAATTTATTAGCAAATAAAATAATTGTGATGCGGATTTGATGGATGTTCTGCTTAGTGGATATTTATATTCATTGTGGATAAGTAAACAAAGATTTCGTACCTAATAGGTATGTAACTCAAACCAAACAAAGGTTTATTTCGTAAATATTTTTTATTAACAGACAAATCAAGTTCTCCCAGAGTTTCATCAAGGCAGCTCACATACAATCAACAATCATATGTAGTAAATCAGCCGAATGTTCGAAAATCCTGTTATTAGTTATATTGGTGTTATGTCAAGTTTTTGCAATTTTATTCAGTATACACTCTTATGAGTAAAACTCGCTATCTCGCAATGAAATAACTGACTTATGCGGATATATAAAAATAAATAAAACTTCGAAAACCT